GGACTCCCAGCCACTCCCCTCGTCCCCGCCAGGCTTCTGCGCAATCACAGGCTCTTAGTGCCAATCGTGGCCCCACCTTCCAGCCATTCCCTCCGCCCCCGTCAGGCTTCTGTGCAATTACAGGCTCCTAGCGCCGATCGTGGCACCGACTTCCAGCCGCTCCCCCTGCCCACGCCAGGCTTCCATCCAGTGCACAACTGGAAAATCAGAGAATACTGGACATTGCACATGTCCGATATTATCTGATTATTTTTTACCGGACAAAGAGCGCAAATACCCGACTGTCCGGTAGTATACCGGACACCTGGCAACCCTACTTTGAGGTACATGTTAAGTGTCTCTCCTAAACTTAGAAACCTAGTTCCAGCTTGTTGGATTTCTATTTTGGAATGGCCTTTTCACATTAGTGTCTATGGTAACAATCAGAGGAAGATATTCTTATTTGGGACCATCAGTGCAAGAGACTTGCAGAAGTAAAGAGAAATAATGATGGAAATCAGTGAAGTAAAATCCAGAATTGCTTTGTGAAGACTGTTGCATTTCTTAAAATTGCTGAAAGAAAGAACCTGTGTATTGCCTAATAGGTTACATAATTATTAGAAGTAAGCGTTTTAGTCAGGAGATCAAAACACATTAAATTGTCCCAGTAATACTAGGCTTTTGCTGACACCCAACATTTTAGTTTGCAGGCTAAAAATTACATAATTTGAGCATTGAACCCTTCTTCCAAGTGCTTTTGTATGACTGGAGTGCTAAAAACCTCTGACTTTGCAAAAGTCATGTCCGGCAGGAAGTGATCAGAGAATTCAGATGAATTGGAGTTACGTGGATTTTACAGAAAGCGCTGTAATTATTTAAAGACAAGTGATGAGTTTTGGAACTCTTATTCAGATTTGAAGTAGAGTGCTCTTTCATTTTGCAGAATGCAAAGTGTGGAGAAACCCTCTTAATCTTTTCAGAGGAGCTGAATATAGCAGGTATTTATTTCATTTTATTTTCAATGTAACAAGCAGCTGTGGAAATGAACTTGGATCCTACACACACCTTTTAAGTTGTTGCCAGGGCTCTCATTGTTGCACTGCTTAGAAATAATGCTGAGTTCCAAAGAGCACCATGGCTAATTATTGGATTTATACTAGTCGTACACTTAAAAAATATTTGTCAAAAGTTTTAGGCACCTTCATCCCATATTCGTAACACAAATACTCTTGCAAATAAAGTGAACTCTGTAACTTCCTAAAAGCAAAGCAATGGCCCTCAAATCCAGGAAGAGAGCTGAGCTTTGCAGCATGCCCTGAAAGCTGACAGATTTGAGCTATTTCATTCCAAAGCTTGAGGAATAAGTTCCAAAGTAGAGTATCTCACGTAGAACACCTTCTGGGAACCACGTTCTCTCTTTATACAGTGATAATTGCAGCTTGAGGACCATTGTTGACCATAACTGTGACACTGTTGCACAGGGATAGAGGCATTTCTCAAATGGGCAGTTGCCAAGCCATTTGTCTTTTAGGTTCAAAAATCATACGTTGCCTTTTCCCAGGAAGCCCTCTGGAAGCTTGAATAGAGCACTGGCATTGCAAGTTTACGATTAGAAAATACACTTAACAAATGATCTGTTGGTTTCTGGGGACATCATACTTCTTTATCAACTGTTACCAGCATGTGTTGAGACTTTTCTTGCCTTTTATTAAAGGTACACATGGGTGACTGGAAAGGAGCCGCTTACATACTACGACATGAATTTGTCTGCTCAGGATCATCAGACCTTTTTCACATGTGATACAGACTCTCTTCGGCCTTCAGATACAGGTACTAGCTATTTTGACATGAAAACAAGGATGTATGTGTGAAATGGTTGGCATATCGTAAATATATAGGAAATATTCACTCTAAGGAAGGGGTCTCCAACCTTTTTAACCACAAGATCACTTTTTCAATTTAAGTGCAATGTAAGATCTACCTCTTTCCCACCTCTTCTCTGAGACCCCGCCCCTGCTTCATCCCTTCTCTGAGGCCTCACTCTGCTCACTCCAACCCCCTCGCTCAACTAGTAAATTAATCACTTGTTAACATCTTTAGTTCAGAATATAGGAGGGGCTCTGGCCTTAGGCCAGCGTGGAGGATTGGGGTTCAGGGTGCAAGCTCTAGGAAGGAGTTTGAGTGCAGGAGAACTCATGTCTGGGGCAGGAGGTTGGATGCAGGATGGGGTTCATGATGGGGACCAGGGTTCAGGGCGCAAGCTCTTGCTGGGCACCACTTAACTAAGATGGGTTCTGGGTGGTGGAGCAGTGGGGTTAAGGCGGCTTACTCCTGCCCTGGCCCTGCACCACTCCTGAAAGCAGGTGACACGTACAGCAATGGCGCCATGTGGTCCCCGGAATTTACAGGCACTGAGCCCACAGCTTCCACTAGCCACGGTTCCCCGTTATTGATCAATGGGAGCTGCAGGAGCGGTGTCTGCGGGCAAGGACGATATGTGGAGACCCCCTGCTCTGCCTCTCTCAGGGGCTGCAGGGACATGCCAGCCACTTTCAGAGGAGCAATTACCACAAGGATAATGACTCCCACCATGACAAGTTCTGTATTTTAGAACTCACTGCTCAAAGAATTACATTTAAGCGTAAGAGAGAAATAAAAATGATGAAATAACAACCTTTGCAAGTAGTAAAAGAAGGAACAACAGCCCCCCACGTATGTGTTGGGTCAGGAGCTGAGAGTGAAGGACAGTGGGGGTGTGTGAGAGTGACAGAGATTTGCATTGCCAAGCTCCCTCCACCCCCCTCTCTCTGTGTGGAACTGGGATACAGGAGTGGGGGGAGGAAGAACACCCTGACATCAGTGCCCCCTCACTTCTCCCTCCCACACTCTACACAACAAGCAGGAGGCTCCCAGGGGCAGCTCCAAGGCAGAAGGCAGGAGCAGCACGACAGTGAGTGGAGGGGCAACTGAAGTGCCAGTGCTTGAGAGCTTCCTGGCCAAACCAGTCAGGATGGCCTGTCAGAGGCTCCAAGATCTACCGGTAGATCCCAAACTACTTGTTGGTTACCACTACTCTAAGGTGATCCCAACTACTGAGTGGAAACCTAAAAGAAGCAGTGGTTCTCAGCCTATTTACCACTATGGGGGAAATATGTGTACTGCTTGTAAGTCCCTGAGGATGTCACATGAGCCACGGTAGTGTACTGATTGGGCCACAGGTTAAGAATCTCTTCTATAAAGTAATAACTGCATAATTCTGCAATGTAGGGAGTACAAAATATATGTTTAGTGATACATTACTGAGTTCTATTGGGAGTGCAATCTAAAACGGAGATGGGCAAAATATGATCCAGCCCACCAAGCCACCAGATCTGGCCCATGGCCCAGCGGAGGCCTCAGGCAGGCTCCCTGCCTACCCTGCCCCCACATGCCACTCAAAATGGCTTTTCTGCGGGGGGCCATGTGCACTCTGCACATTATACATGCCAGGGGGAGGGGTTCACATGCTGCTCTTGCCCCGAACACAATCTCTCTGTTTCTGTTGGTCAGTTTCCAGCCGATGGGAGCTACATGGGCCATGCTTGTGGCACAGGCAGTGCACGGAGGGCCCCTCAAAGGGTGCCCAGCATGCAGAGAGCACATGGCCCTTGTAGCTGGCCACATTGAGTGTCATTCAGGGGTATGGTAGGCAGGGATCCTGCCCGGGCCTCCAGCTGGGCTTCTGGCCAGGAGTTACCTAAGGTAAGAACCTCCTGACCAGAGCCTGCACCTGGTACCCCACTTCTTCCTCCCCCCAACCTGCCTCCCCTTCTGCTCCCCTTCCCCAGGTCACAACCCAAACCCTCTTTACCCCCACTCCTACACATACCCTCTCCTAGACATTGCACCCCAATCCCTTGCTCCAAGTCTCAACTCCCTCCTGCCATAGGTCACAACACCCTCCCAGACCCTACATCCTCTCCTACACGCCTCCTCAGGTCGGAATCCTCTCCTGTACCCGTACCCCTCCAAACACTGGACGCCTCCTACGCTCCACTTCCCTGCACCAGGTCACAACTCTCTCCTTACCCAGACTCCCTTCCAAACTCCATATCCCCTCCTGTATCCTAATCCCCTACTCCTAGCTCCCTTCTGCTCCCAGCCTCCATTCTGGACCCTGCACCTCCTCCGTTAATATCGTGGAACAGTGCAGCACTTGACCACTTACTAAATTCCTGGAGTGGCCCCCATCAAACATTATTGCCAACCCTGGTTTAGAGGTTTAAAGAAACTCCTAAACTTTGCCATTGACTCACTTTGTAACTTTGAGCATGTTACTTCCTTTCTTTTGGCTCAGTTCACCCACTTGTAAAATGGGGATAATGTGAACATAATTTTTTTACAGGAGTATGATGAGGCTTCATGTTTGTTTAAACAAAACACTCAGATCCCTGGGTGAAAGACATACTAACGAAAGTGTGTTACATATATGAAATAGCTAAGTCATGAAAATGTTCCTGCTTTTGCAAAAGGTGCTGTAAACTCTGCAATACGCTTAGTACTCCTGAAAAATGGTCCCTCAGCAGCATTTTGCTGTCAGTACTGTGGTTGCTCATTAGCTCAATACTGACTCAGAAAGAAAAGTGCCAACCCTGCTTCATGCATCGGCTTGATCTTCCTTGGAGTTCTCCCATTGAACAAGCCATATACAGCCTTACTTAGCTTCAGGTCTGAGGAGTGTTCAGCTGAAGATGGTTTGACATCCTGAACACAGGACTAACCCTCTTGCCATATAATAGATCTATGTTTGCAAACTTATTAGTGTTTTAGGGTAGATCACTAACAATTACATTGTTGAAGGGAAAAAACATCTTGCTTTGTTTGTCTTCAGACAATTTATTATTAAAGTAGTCCACAGGACTTTCCCTTTGGAGGGTAAACAGAGCTGCACAGTTTGGTGAAAAGGGAGCTCTTGTGCTGTCTCTGCTGGCTGTGAGGTTGACTGTGCATCTAGAAAACCAAATATTCTAGGATGATGCATAAACTAGCGGTTACAGGGTTTTTTCTAATTATATGTTTTTAAAACCTGGACTGTGTTCTTTACTAGTTTAATGTCTTTAAAGAGGTTCACGGTTGGGGCCATAACTAATGAACAGTCATGTCTCTTTAGGTGTACTGTACAGCATTTTTGTACAAATGGTATGCCCTACCTGGCTATTGTCAGATGAGGTGCTAACTCTTATCAATTTGTCAAGTTCAGGAAGTGTTAGCTGTCAGCTAGTTGGTGACATGTTTGATATGAGGAATGTATTTTTGTTGCACGAATGGAGTATATTGTCTCGTCTTTTAAGCCAAGACTAATATTTTGTTTCCAAAGGAAAACTCAAATATTTTCCACATTATTCTTACTGGACAGTTGCAGTTTTTGTTCCAAAAGAAACATGTATAGATTCTTCAGTTTCCTTATCAAATTTGAGTGAGGCCAGATATTCAGTTCCCTGAACAAACAATTTTGGAGTCCTTTCAGAAATGTTATTGGGTGTGAAGATTCTAATTCCGCCTAGGAAATGGTACTGGTAAGAACATTGCCCCCCCCCCCTTTTTTTTTGTTAAAATGAGCTCTTGAATTTGGGTTCCATTTTGTCATAATGGGGGCTGACATTGTCCAGAGATGTGCGGCGTTGAATTGGTTTTCTTCCCATTCCTCCTCTTGCTGTAATTCTTCTGCAGAAAATTATAATTCAGACAAACCTCCTAGACTCAAACATTGTTTAGATGAAGAACATGTTCTGAACTATGTGTATTTTTAGCTGCTTCGTAGCACCTTTCAACAAGATGATAAACAGTAATAGTATATTTTGAATTGGCTGTAACGTGTTATGCCACTTGAGTTTCTTCTTGCTTTCCAACCAAAACTTTAATAGGAATTGCTTAACCATTTACAGTCTGTTAAATAACAGTTTTGAGGAGGCACTTACTCATGGATTTAACATGACAAAACTGCACCAGAACAACAACAAAGTTTATATTATGTTCTTCCTTAAAAGAAAAGCATTGCCCATAACAACACAAAAATCAGGAGTTTATGCAAGTCTGCGCCAGGGCCACTGTAAGTGCATCCAAAAAACAGTGTGCACCTATTGAGTAATTGTACACCAGTCTGTGCACCAGAAGGATGTGGTTTGCATATACAATAGGTTTTAAATGAACAATGAATAATCGCCTTGCAGATATTCCCTTTTAAGTGGAATTTGTAATCTAATCAGATGTCATAATATTCTGCTGGCAATAGAAGAAACTTTTCTCAGGATTTTAATCTCTTTTTGCTGCATGTGTCTGAGGGAAGAATACAGTCAAGCTCAGAGTATAACTAATTGTTGGGCAAGTGGATCTGATGTATAAATAACACAAGGGTTACTTCTTAAAAAGCTCTAATTTTCATTGCTGTTTAGCTGTTTCTTACATAGGCATTTATGTTCATGGTTTATTTTAAAACATTTTTCAACAGTTATGCAGAAGGCATGGCGAGAGAGAAGCCCTCAAGCCCGAATCAAAGCAGCATATCAAGCTTTAGAATTAAATAATGAGTAAGTCTGAAATTAATATAAAGATAAATCTAAGTTACTGGAGTAAAAAAACCGAATGAAGTGCTTTACACAGGACACAGTGTCACTTTTTCTTTAAATTTATAATTAGCAAGAAGGAATGTCTTCAGATAGTGTAAGGGTTTTCCATTATGCATCAGTTAGAAATAAACACATGGTTATCAGAATACACTGCAATGCTTAGCCCATGTTTGATTAAAAGATAGCTTTTGGCCTATCTTTTTATTTTAAAAAAGAGTATTAGTTTGATTTCTGCTATTTGTCTTTGGGTAAGTAGAAATAATGTACACAAGCAGAAAATCTTTATTTTGAGGTAAAACAAAGTAAAACTCCTTATGAAGTCTTGTTATTGTAATGTCATTTCTGACCCCCAATAATATTGTATGCAGTGTTGTTAACATAATCAGAATTCATGGCCACAGGGAACCATCTTCATCATTGTCTCACACACCTTTGCAGCAACAAGGACCCTTTTTCAAAACTTATTTTTCCATTTGCGACATTTGCCTTAAATTCTTAAAACTGTAAAATTCTCTTTTCCTAGCACTTGTCACTTGACTGTAGTCCAGTGAATACCCTGGTAGGTGCTGTATATTTCACAGGGTCTTTTATAAGTATTCTTATAGGCTTAATTTTTATTCATTAGTAATGGGTTTTCATCAATGTTCAAATACTACATACAGGACAAAAAACCTGTAGATATTTTTGATGCCATTACTTTCTTGTACCAAAAATCCTTACAATTGACTTCTGTCTGAGTGTCTGTGGCTTTCTTTTTTTGTTTCCATTCTAGTTGTGCCACTGCATATGTTCTCCTCGCTGAGGAAGAAGCAACAACTATTACAGATGCAGAGAAATATTTTAAGCAGGCACTAAAAGCAGGAGAAACAGTTTACAAAAAATCACAGCATTGCCATCCTCAAAGTGCCCAGAATGAAGCGCAGCTCAGTAAGCACTTTGGCACCAAATGGTCACAAAGGTTTTTCTGTCTGAGCACAAAAGCAAAATGAGAGAAACTTGATTGGTTTTAGGGTAATTGTTGAAACATCAAATCCTGAGAAGGAAACTCATTGTTGGTACTGCTCTGTAATTACATTTTAGCAGAATATGCTGTATGAATAGTATATGGTGTGCCGTGTGAGTAAATCTATAAAAAAACAGAGCTTGTCATCATCACACTATGATATATCAATCTGTGTTGGTGGGCCTCTGCATACACATGGTAGTGTATCTTCATGTCTTGATGTGCTACTCCGGTGGTGGGGAATAACGGGTTTTGTAAGCATTAATGGTACAGTTTACCATTGGACGCTGGTTTTATCCCACCCTGTAAGTGGAAAGAAACTCAAAAGTTCTTGCCCTATGATGACTGGGAACTTAGCTGAAATTAATTGTTGGGTTTAGTCCTTTTTTTTTCTTTTTTCTTTTTTCTTTTTTTAAATGTGTGTGTGGACCACTGCCAGAATTTTGGCTGAGAAGGTATTTATGTTTGTTTTATACTCTTTTCTCTCTGCTACTGGTTAGGAAAAGGATGTTGTGCATTCACTCTTGGGGTACGTCTAAACTGCACAGCTATTTGGTATCCCAAAATAGCTACCCTGCGTCTACACAAGCCACCCAGTATTTTGAAATATTTTTCAAAATAATGGGCGTGCTATTTTGCCATCCCTGTAAACCTTGTTGCACGAGGGTTAACGGATGGCTTGAAATAGCATGTTATTTTGAAATTAGGCGCTGTGTAGATGCACCAAGTTTCAAAATAAGCTATTTTGAAATAGATTTGAAATATGATACACAATTTGCATAGCACAAATTGCGTATCTTATTTCGAGTTTAGGATGCTGTGTAGACGTTCCCTTGGAGAATAATGTCATCGCATGCCATTTTAGGCACTGTATAGGAGAGATAAAAAACAATAAATGGTCTGGTAGCACTTTATAGACTAACGAAACATATAGATGGGATCATGAGCTTCTATGGGCACAGCCCACCTCTTCAGTGACTGGAGTTATGAGTTGGGGATATGAAAACTCGAAATAAATAGGAGAGGGGAAAGGGACGGAAAAAAAAAAGGGGGGGGGGGGGGGGAGACAGAGCATCATTAAGTATCTGGAGGATGGATACTTAAACCTAAGCAGATAAAATCAAAGACAGTAGATAGATTCCTAAAACAGGAATGTTCATATCCCCAACTCATAACTCCGGTCATCTGAAGAAGTGGGCTGTGCCCACAAAAGCTCATGATCCCATCTATATGTTTTGTTAATCTATAAAATGCTACCAGACCATTTGTTGTTTTTTTCTGTAACAGACTAACTTGGCTACCCCCTGAAGCTATAGGAGAGATGTCCACAACACATCCCACAACCCTTTTTTATTACTCCTCTTCTACTATAAGCTTATCTTAACATGGATCTTAACTTTAAACAAATAAAGATCGAAAGTGAGTTTTTAGAAGAGAGATGAATTGTTTTATTTTTTTTAAATCAGGAAGAGACACCAATGTACTGGTTTACGTGAAAAGGAGACTAGCCATGTGCGCAAGGAAACTTGGAAGAATAAGAGAAGCAGTAAAAATGATGAGGGATGTAAGTCATTTTAAATAAAATATAAACAACTCAGATAATTTGGACAATAGAGTTATATTAGTTTATAGCCACAGGAAGGTGATGGAACAGTTTGGTTGGACTTAGTTTCATAGTGAGATAGGAATGTTTTCAACATAATTTTAGTGTTTGATATCTGTGAAGTACATAATATGGGTGTACGTAATATGGCTCTGTTTCATACTATGGCACTTTATAATTATGGAGGACTCTTTGCTGGTGGAGGTGGGGAGTGGGGGAGAACTAAAGAATGAAAAGGTTCTAAAGGCACATCAGCCATTATATTAAGTTCTTTTAAACCATGGCATTGAATATTTATGCACTCTGTTTTATCTGAATGCCTTGCTGGATTTATTGAACAATGTGACTAGATTTATCATCTGGCTTGGTTTAGCAACTCAGAGCTGATAATTTATAAAGAATGTGAACCAGTGACCTAAACAACACTGGAAAATGAATGCAATTCTGATACTGTACTTTGGAGCAATTGACGGATACTTGCTTTGATTAACAAGTATTTCTCTTTTCTGATGTGCAGTTAATGAAAGAGTTTCCACTTCTTAGTATGTTGAATATTCATGAAAACCTTCTGGAGGCACTGCTGGAATTGCAGGCGTATGCTGATGTCCAGGCAGTTTTAGCGAAGTATGATGGTGAGTGACATTTGTCATGAAGCATAAAACATTCATGTTTGCCATTATGTATGTTAACACAGAGCACGTGACATGTATTCTTCAATCCTCAGCTCTAATTCCAGAAAAAACGCCACTGCTTTGTGTAGTGGGAGCGAAACGAGCTCTAAGGGCACCTCTTTTGTATGTATCCTAGTTCCTTCATTACTGACTCGTTTTTCAGCCCTTCATAGGCAATGCACAGCTACCCTCACCCGAATAGTCAGTATGAGTGAGCTTTCCTCCCACCTGCCTGCATCTTTCATACCACTTGTTAACACTGTTTGTCAGAGAGATCTGGACTCAAGCATTTGATCCCTTACATTTCAGGATGTTGCAAAATTACTAATCCTCTAGACCAGTGTTTCTCAACCAGTGGTACGAATACCCTTAGGGTACTTGAGAGAAGTGTGGGGGGTACCACAACAAAACTGAAATGTGGAGAAAACGGAATTTTTGTTTTAAGTTTTACAACATTTTATTATTTTTGTACTTTTTACACCCAAAAATTTCATCGCCCACCTGGTTGTGATTAAGTTGTTTAAACAAATGTGTTGCAATAATAGAAAAAATTGTGTGTCTGAAAACTGTAGATACTGGGGGTACTTATAATTTTTTTTTAAAGGGGGTAGTTTATAAAAAAAAAAAAAAAAGGTTGAGAAACATTGTTCCAGACTGAGCTGCTTCCAATGTCCCATACGTTTAAATGTTCTTCTGTGGAAGAGCCTAGCTATTTTGTTTTTGTCTTTAGTATTACAACACAGAAGTGTTTCATAGAGCAGTTTTTCTATTGGTCAGGGGGGTCCCAATGTTACACACAAATCGTGATCAAAACTGTCCCTTAAATCAACTTCAGAAGAGGCCTGGAGAAGCAGCATTTCTGGCACTGTTCCTCACACCCAGGTGTCAATGTGTTCTGTAATGGCTCTGTTCACTGTGGCTCCAGTATTTCCCAAGTATCTGGCCCACTCTAACAGTATGCTATATTACTCCACCCATGTTGTGTTGTGTGGGTTTTTTCATTAACACAATGAAAACGTTTACTTGGTCATGGGATTTTTTCATGTCCAGAAATTTTGACACTTATCTTATTTAGAGGGGCACTGATTCCTTCTAAACATCTGGAACAGTTAAGGTGAGCTTCAGAAGGCTGTAGTCTCAGAGAAATTTGCAATAAATTCTTCCCATATGGTACTCACCAGATGCTTGGCTGGCTTGTTACATGATGGACAAGCCTAAGAGAGGTTTTTAAGAAACAGAAGGATTTCAACTGATATGCATAGACTAGTATTCAGGAATTTATTTAGAAACAGAATCTTTTGTCTATTTTTACAGTAACCTTGCACTGTAGAATGTTATCTCTCACTGATGCCATCAGGCCAAATTTTTGGACCAAATTTAAGCTTTTTATACATTCAGGCTTTATAGCACCTAAAACCAATAGATACTTTTCCGTTGGCCTAAAACTTACTAAACGTAAGATATTTTAGTTAAATTCCTTTGTGGTGTTTAGCATTTTTCAGCATTGAATTACAATGTATGAGAACTTGAAAATGAAATGTACTACTTTTTTTCAAGTTAAGAAATGCAAAAACGAAGTTGAAGGTTACAAATGATTTGTTTTAATGCTGAGAGGTGTTTAACACAACTAAAGACACTTTAACGAGTGTTTAATCTAGAGGGCTACGTCTACATTGGCACCCTTTTCCGGAAATGCTTAAAACGGAACAGTTTTCCGTTATAAGTATTTCCTGAAAAAGCGCATCTACATTGGCAGGATGCTTTTCCGGAAAAGCACTTTTCCCGAAAAAGCGTCCGTGCCAATGTAGACGCGCTTTTCTGCAAAAAAGTCCCGATCGTCATTTTCGCGATCGGGGCTTTTTTGCAGAAAAGACTACTGGGCTGTCTACACTGGCCCTTTTCCGGAACAGTTTTTCCGGAAAAGGACTTTTGCCCGAACAGGAGCAGCATAGTTTTTCCGGAAAAACAATGACGATTTTACATTAGATCGTCATTGCTTTTCCGGAAAAGCAAGCGGCCAGTGTAGACAGCTGGCAAGTTATTTCGGAAAAGCGGCTGCTTTTCTGGAATAAGTGGCCAGTGTAGACACAGCCGAGATGTAAAAGCTTAATGGATAAGCCTCATCCTTAATGGGTGAGGCTTACCAGTTCTGGTTGTTCAGTAGGAGCTTGAGCAGCTCCCCATCCGCCCCAGGAAGGGGGCTGCTCCAGTCTCAGGTGTCCTGCCAGAGCAGCTCCTGTCCTTGGTGGGCCCCCATTCCTTTCCCCTCCCCCCATAGGTTGCATGCTGGCTCCCTGGGAGTGGGGCTGGCAACAGCCCTTGTTGGCCCCGTTCCTGGGAAGGCTTCACTGCGGGCTCTGCTCTATAGCCCCCGCAGCACCTGTGACCATGATGATTTTAGCGGTTACACGGTTACATTTTTAAACGCATTTTTACATCCCTAGTTTGACTAACTAATGTACCTCTGTATACATTCATTTTTTCAGTGTCATATTTGACAGCTGTGCTCAGAAATGAATGATGAAGATCAATTCCTGACCCTGCAATTGGGACTGTAAAACCAGGGGATTTTTCCGAGAGAGGATTTTGGGGACTGGTGCAAAGTAGTTAAGGAATTGAAGGTTTCTGGTCATAACTGAAATGTTCCAGATGTTGAATGTATTGTATGAACCATCCCATATGCAAATCATTCAGCTCAAAGGAGACAGATTTAAAATGTTTGTCTTACTTTAGAATCCTAAAGTTAACTATTTATTGTACTGTAGATATAAGTCTTCCAAAATCAGCAGCAATATGTTACACAGCAGCACTGTTGAAGGCAAGAGCTGTTTCAGATAGGTAAGTAAACACAGAAACCACTGAAATAAGTATATAATGCTAATCTTGGATTCCAGTATGAAAAGATGAATCAATTATTAAAAACAAACACAATTCTAAATCCCATGTGTAGCATTGACATCTCTGAAGACAGATCCTTTCTTTATTCATGAACAAATGTCTGGCTTCTCTCTACTACTATTTTTCTCCTACTTCACTTAAGGTATAAACTACTCCCACAACTAGTCCATCCAAATATACATCATCTTCACTCTTCTGTATTTTAGATGGATCACTCTTCCTGAGCATGTGTTGAGATGGTGGAGGGTGTGGGTGGAAGACTGATGCTTGACCCTACATGGAGTTTGTCTGGTGCTCCCCCTTCTCTGGTTGCTTGCTGACTGCAGCTCCAGCTAATTTTAGCTTTCCCTCTTAGTGTATGTCATCATAAAATCTTATAACATTAATTGAATACTCGGCTTTCAGTCCAGTTTTTAGATGGAAATGTTTCTAGCATCTTAGTCGTCACTTGAACATCTTGTTTGTTATGCTTGTAATGGATAGGAGGAGTGCTGACCAGTATCTGGTGACTAAGGGAGTAAGCTCAGGTAGCTAGCAAAGGTGTTGGCCAGAGGGCTGGAGAACCAGTCGAGATGAGAGGGTTGAAATTTGAATTGGCTATAGATTCCGTGCCTGCTTTCTTTGTGGGGGAGAGATAAACGAGGAGTTGAGAGACACAGAATGATTTAAACCCAGGCAGGACTGCCATATTTCCAAGGAATTCAGGGCATGGGGGAGGACTGAAAAAAGAGAAAATTAGAAGTAAGTAAAAGGGAAAAGTGAATCCAGTTGCGTTCAGGGTAATTTTCTTTATTTTGTGGTTTGGTTTGAACTGTTCTGTGTTAATCTATGCCTCCCCTCACTATTACTACCTTGCATTGTGCCCAGAAAATTTTCTGTTTTAAAATTTATTTTCCTTAGTGCTCTGTAACATCTAGCAACCAAGTATGCTTTATCAAGTTTATCTTTTATTTTGTAATTAAAATCACTGGTTTTAAGGTGATGATTTGATTCTTGTGTCCTGGAAGGTCTGTCTGTGTGTCTCTGCAGGCCTCTGACTGAAGGGTCAGCTACCAGAGACTGCAGCTTGTTTTTCTCTCTTCTTTTTTCAAGCTCTTTTGGGGGCAAAAGAGCTTGGGGTGCCCCTGGGGGTGATTTCAAGTGTTCACCCCGGTTTTTAGGGATAAAAAGCACTTGATGGTGGCAGTGATTCCTCAAAATCTGTGGATTATTATTCTTTTTGTAACCAGAGCCTATAGAGGCACGGTTTTGAAGCTCTCTTACGGCCCCTCACCTTCTGCACTTGGAGTGCCAGAGTGGAGAACAGCCCTGATAATATTCCAGAGAAAAACCTTAAGTAGTGCCACTTTGTTTCCAAAAGCTTCAGATGCCTGTGGCACATGAATACGGATGGTAATCAAGCTATCTGAGTTAGTTATCTTTTGGTGGTTAGCTGCATAAAGAGCAAAGCAGGGCTAAGACAAAAGGCAATTTTCTCATTCTCAGCAATCAGTCTTTCCCACAGTTTATGATGAGCTTCAATCTTAAAGTATCATTCTTGTTTGTATTTTCTTTAGTAAATTGTTCGGTTTGGGTTTTCCATGCAGGTTCTCTCCAGAAACAGCCTCCAGAAGAGGGCTCAGCACAGCAGAAATTAATGCTGTGGAAGCAATTCACAGAGCAGTGGAATTTAACCCTCATGTCCCAAAGGTAAGAACTGACTTTTTTTTTTCTCCTTATGGGGGTCAGTTTACCTTTCTATCTGAAATACAGCTGCCATTTGCAGTTGTCCTGGAGCCTCGTTGCCCTTGTGGAACATGTGACTGTTTCTCTGTGTTTGAAGTAGGCTGAGGATAACTCATGTAAAGCTACTTGGAAATCCTGGGTGAATTGTAGCATGGATAGAAATGAAAGCATCTACTGCTGATGATTGTTACAGTTAAGGTTGCAAATCTGCTTCTCCCTGCTCACGCGTATTTGTAACTGTTTCAGCCTTTAAACTCAGTCTTGTACATAGTTCATAATAGGAAGGTTGTGCTTTGGGCGGAGCATAAAATGGTTGCAAAATAAAGGTAAAGAACATTACAGCACATGCTCTGTGGAAAACTTCAAGTGGCATATTTAAGCATGGGTTTTGTACTCATGTGGCAGCAGCTATTTGACTGCATGGTGATGTGCCCCTACAATGGAAAGTCTGTTTAAAAGTAATTGTCGCTCTCCTGCTGATATCATCCTGAGAACATATGACCTAAAGGAATTAGCACAGGGCTGGAATGCTAGTTTTCCTGATTTCTAATCCAACCTCTGCCACCAATCATTTAATTGTCTCAAATACAATTGCTCCCACTTCACAGATGGAGGAACAGGCACAAAGTGTAGAAATGACTTTCCCAAAGTTTTGTGTTAGAGCTAGGATTAGAAACCACATGTCCTGATAACTGTGGCCATGTATAATCCATCTCACAACACTTTTCAAACAAGACACTTAATTTCTATTCATTTCCCCACCTATAAAAAGGGCACAATACTGGTACTTGTCTAATGGGTTTGATCTTTGCCAATATTCAACTTCTTGGGGAAAATTGCAACCACGGGGTTAAGGGTGTTCAGAAGCAGATATAGATGAAAGCTGTTCAGTTTGGCAGCAAAATTATAACTGCATCTTTGATGGAACACTCTATTTAACCCAAGTTGAATTGGAAGTATAATTATTGTATGTTGCAAACTGTTCTTGAATTAGAAATTTCTTTGGGCATAAGTCACAAAATTGCATAGATTGAACCCTTCTGGTTCGGCACCCTCAGGGTCAGACTGGTGCTGAATCAGAGAATTTGCTGGACCACAGGAGGTCAATATTTTCTAGTAGCATTATCTACACTTCCACTGCTTACAGAGCTCTTAGAAGACATTTAGGGGTAACTTAGAGCTAAATAACAGCACAGAACACTGAGAGCCAGGACTGGTGGCTATCAACAAACTTTATGAGACCGCTGGGAACTTGAACACCTATGATAAGTGGACATCTGGCTAACTAAAATCCTGCACAGATGTTGCTGGACCAGAGAGTGTCGAACTAGAGAGGTTCAACCTGTAGTTGCTTCTCTGGAATTTCAGATGATAAATGTATTAGATCAAATTCCTGTGTTTTAACTATAGGTAAAGCTTTTTCTAAACATCGGAAATTCTGGAGTTTGCAAGTGCAGAAAAAGACTGGGCATGTAAAAGATGAAATAATCAACAGGAGGGAACAGATGATTCTCAAAAGGTTGGCTGACTCATTATTTTAGCCACTAGTTAATTTCTGTACCACTCTCAAAAATGTTTCCCTCTTGTAAACAAATAAGTATATGGAACAATATTATCATATTTCCCTCCACGACAAACTGCACAATATGTCTAGTTTAGCTCAGAGTGCATACTTCTGCTGCAGCAGTAATTACATAAGAGAAGAAACCTTTCTGCTGCCACAAAGCTGATAGTATGTGTAAGGGCCCTGAAGCCATGACACAAATTCCGAGAGAAAAGAGTAAATTGACTGCATTTCATGCTGTTCTGGCTAGTAATGGCTCTGTGAACTATTGATTACACAGGATAATAGAATCATAGAAAATTAGGGTTGGAAGAAACCTCAGGAGGTCATCTAGTCTAACCCCAACTTCAACATTCCAGCATGGCCTTAAACCTCTAAGGGTGGAGATTCCACCACTTCACCACTCTCCTAGTGAAATAGTTTTCCCTAATAGCCAACCTAGACTTCCCCCACTGCAACTTGAGACCATTGCTCCTTGTGCTGTCATCTGCCACGACTGTGAATAGCCACGAGCTTTCAAAGGTATGGACGTTTTGAGGTTTTGTGATCTAAGATAGTGACTTGCTGGGATATCTTGAGCAAGCTACTTCACCACCTGACACACCACTCTTTCTACCTGCAAACTTGGGGCAAAGGCAGAAGATTCTACTCTTCTGAACCTTTCGGCAACTATCAGCTTATCTGAGGGCTTTCTAGGCTTATTTTCCTAAACACCCTCTGAATCTAGCATCTTATCTGTGTAGTTAAACTGTTTTTTAAACACTGTGCTTGATAGTATTGTCAAGAGTTGCATTATCTTTAAAGAAAATAGCAGCAAGTGGCTATGGATAGAATTGTTTAATAAGGATTCTTTGCCATTTCCTCTTCTGGTTTTAGAGGGCCTGGCTATCATGTACTTGGTTAAAGAAGGAAAGGTAGTGTGGTGGATTTGCAAATTTCAGATATTGATTGCTTACACAGGGCTTTGTTTCATCTGAATAAATAATAGGTTGAACAATTCTAATCGTAACCATTATTCATAGACACGTGTAAGCTGCTACATCCTTGTGGTTACATGCAAAGATCTTAAAATCAGCAGGATATTTAAAGTATTTGTGCCTAGATGAGACATAGCTTATTTGTTTATCACTTGCAGACTGCAACGGCAGAAGCTTCATTACTATGAGAATGTCTGTGAAGCTGAAAAACAAAGGTCAGCACACACTTTTCATTCAGCTTCAGTCTATAGTAGAACTGAATGAAATATAAAACTGAACAAATGAGCTAACTGCAGCCATACTTGCAGCAGATGTCCTCACTGTTTCACCAGGATTGGCACAATATGCTCTGATAACTGCATCCCCATGAATGGTTGAAACTGACTTACAGAACCAGGACCATTTCCTGCCTGTCTAAGCCTTACTGTGTAGTCTTTCCTGCTAAGACCAGGCCTATGTTTGCACCCTCCCCTTATCAGGAAAATTTTCTTGAGAATTGTGGTAATTCCAACCCATTATTGGTATGAGCCTATTTAATATTTATATTACAGTGGTATTGGGAGACTAGGACCAGGTGTCTGTGTGAGGTACTATAAAAATCACAGTTATGGTTCCTGCCCCAAAAAGCTTATGATCCATGCTAAAATTTCCTGTGTCTCTCAGAACAGTCTGCTTGTGTGCTACTGAAGACACTCTCGGGCAAGAGTAAGGGCTAATTAAAATGTGTGGTCTCCAAAGTCCCGAAAGCTGGACAGTCCTCTCCAAGGACTTGTTTTGTTTTTCTAGATTATTGGCAGAAGAGCCTCTGAAACTTTGATAATTGTACGAGATCTGAGATACCTAATTAAAAAACAGTATGTGTTCATTTTTTTCCCCTGTGGTCTGTATATGAACAAAAATAAAACCGGTCCACTCTTGTGCTCTGGTTCGTATTTGGTAATACCTGGAGTGGTCAAGATATTAGACTCTCCAAGTAAGACATACTTAAAATACAAATAGTCTTGTGGCACCTTAGAGACTAAGAAAACATGCCGATGGTATCATGAGCTTTCATGTGCACAATCCACTTCTTCAGATGAAACAGTAGGACATGAAAAAATAGGACATGTAACTGAACTCTAGATAGGGTTACCAGGTAGGTTTAGAGAAAATACCAGACACATTTGATGAGGGGCATGGGGCTGGCCGGGAGGGGGAGGGGGAGGAGTGGGAGCAGCACGGCTGGCTGTGGGAGATGGGAGGGAGGGCCAGGGGATGGGGCGGCTGACTGGAAGAGATGGGGGGGTCAGGGCAGTGCGGCTGGCTGGGGGAAAACCAGACTGTCTGGTAGAATACTGGACACCTGACAACCCTAACTCTAGAGCAGGGCAGGAATTTTTTGGTTAGGGAAAATGTCAGTTTGTTGAAAAGGAAACTTTGTAAGAGACATACCATCTCTCTCATACCCCTGGTGGTTGGGGCATTCACCTGGGATAAGGGAGACCTAGGTTCAAGCCCTTGCTCCAAATCAGGCAGAATAGGGGCGTGGATCTATCTCCCCCATATAGCAGGCATGTGCCCTCCCCACTGGGGTAGTGGCTATTCTGGGGTGGGTCTCTCTCTCATAGACATATGTTGCATGAAACATTCCAAAAGGTCTACATTATGTTCCAATGCTCAATGAAAAGAATTGAAAGCTCAGAATTTTTTGGAAAATGGAATTCTTGTTTTCTGGATAACCTTACTGAACTCTCAGCCACCCCTTTACCAGCACTGCTGATATATGTAAGTTGTAGTCTTGAAAGTGGAAAGGTGGCTTAGCCCTAAATCTCTTCAAATAGTCACGGAGTCCAAATGGATCTAGCCATAAAAGTCTGAATTTTTCAATCCACTGTGTTCTGTCTGCCTGTCCAGTTTAATAGAATGTGCATGGAGAAAGCTAATTGCTGAGAGAAATTTCTGCTTGTTCGCATGATTGATCAAGAGTGTAGCAAGTTCATTTCAGGCAGACGCAGACAGATTTTTTTCTTCAGACTGTGCCTTAGGGGAAGAAGATTAAAACACATTATCATTATCTAAGTTATTTTATTTTGTGTATCTTTCAGTTCCTTCAGAACCCTTATGTTCTTAGAAAGAGTTTTATGAAACTAAATCATCCTTTATGTGAGTTTAATTCACTAGTTTTGTAGACAAAGAAATTAGTATCACCTTTCAATAACCATACCTTCTCCTTTGATCATATGCTCATTCAGACTTTTATTGTTTATATTACAGTAGTACCTAAGGGCCCCAGTTGAGGATGGGAGTCCATTGTTTGGGCCCTGATAAGTTTACAGTCTAAATAGAGAAAGCAGGCACACACGCATGCAAGTACACACACACACTGGGTACAAAGGGGTGAAATGAGTTGCCCAAGGCCACACAGAAGGTCAGTGCCAGAGCTGGGGAGAGAACCCATGTCTTTTGTCTCTCAGGCCATTTGGTTCTATCCACTGATTAAAAATGTACATATGTAAGGTAGAAAGCCATCTTTTTTTGCATGTAACGCAAGTGGTTGGTTTTGGGGAATAATTTTGTGCTGTATTACACAGCATACAAGATTAAACTTCAAGAAAGGAGCTGGAAAGTGAACAAGCGCTTCCTTTTCCTTTTGTTGCAATGATGCTTCTTTGAGATGGATCTTATTTTGAAAGGGTGGGAGAGGTCTTAGTGTATTATGTTGCTTTCCCTTTTAGAGGCGAGGCACTGAGTCAGTTCTAAATCTAGATCCCTCTAGTATAACAGGAATGAAATGCAGGCACTGGCATGTAACCAGGTAACAGGAAAGGGTGTCTCAATATTGCAAACCTAAGTTTGCTGTGAATTGGGTAAACTAGTATCTTTGAATAGCTTTTGGAAATAGACAATTTCAGCATTAGTACCTGGCTTTTTATTACCAAAAAGTAAATGGTTAAACAGTGACTAGAAGAAGTTAAATTCGAAAATTTGCAACTGCGTCTTTTATTTGTCCTGCACCCATAAAGGTGCATGGCATAACACATACAAGCCAAAAGACCTGATCCCTGTCCTGTGGAGATGGCAGACATATTGAAACACTAATAATTACATTGAGGCTTCGTCATTGCGGCTACATTTTCCTTTCCTTACTGTTTAAGCACTTAATTCAACTGCCAACTAGTCACTGCAGAGAGCATGCCGAGTCATGTCAAAGGTCAGATATTTGAGACCATTTTCCCACAGCAGCCCTGTGTGAGTGATCCTTTACCGTGTTAAAAAAAATAGAAGGGATTAAAAAGGATTAGCAAGAATATTACCCTCCAAAGTGCAAGCCCAAGGCACTAAGAGAAGAACCTAGCCAGGCAGTAAATGTGCTTTATTTGGCCAAAGCACAACCTCTGTTACATTCCTTGAAGAATCTGAATGGGAAAAGTTAAGTCCCCAAACTGGATTAGTAAATAATCTCATAGTTTGTGGCATCTGCTGAAATAAATCGGTGAGTTGGCTGCATTCTAATACTTTGGGAGAGAGTGAAAGGAATTGCCAGTTACACTGATCAAAGATGAGGATTAACTTTGCCCATTACTAAGTGGGACACTCTAAACTATGAAAGGACAACTAATAAGCATATACTAGAAAATCAGAACATTAATTTTAAAGTTGTAAAATTATTTAACATTTCTTAAAAACAAAGTTGAGGAATAAAACAAACTGGCTTATTTTTCTTTGTTGCTTAAAAAAAAGGGAAATGAACACCCTGAAAGGTTTTAGAAAAATGTAAAATATTTGTTTAGAAATTCTGCAGTTTTCATAGTGCACATGCTCAGTTTCATGGGCGTTTTACTGCCTGGAAAGATATCAGTGTGTTCTTCCCATGTATCCGAGCACTATCATTTCTGCTTTCTCCCATCAGATTGTAACAGCAGTTATCATTTGTGCCAGCAAAACACAGCTGTGGATTAAGGATCACATTGTCAAAAAGTGCTCAGCTTTAGTTTAACTCCATTCCCTTTGAAGTCAGTGGAATAGAAATTAGATCCAGGCGTGGTATTTCTGAAAATCCTGCTCTGAACTTTGCAGTCAAGGGTATACCTGGTAGCCTGTCCGCATCGGTTTCTTCTTTGCACCCAACACTTGGGAACTAACAGATATTAAAGTTTTCAGAAGGCAAAGGTATTGAGGTGCAAATCAAGCTAGAATTACAGTAAGCGCTTTATTGCCAGATCCTGAGCATTGGATGACTTCTAGTCTACCTGTGTATGAAACACTTCCGCTAAATCAGTCCACTTTCCTTTGGCATTCACGGAGTATGAATTGATGGAGCGTAAAACATGTGTATATGTGTGTGCATTTCCCCAGATAACTTACCTTATGTGTTACGATCCAGGAACTAAACTCCAGCCACAGAAGTGTTTTGTGGCTCCTCAGTGAAGTAAAATGCAAATCCATTTGATAGTATAAGTACTTTTTAACATTTGAAGTGTGAACGACCCAGTTTAGCAGCCCAACTTGTCTGTGTAAATAAAATCTGGCAAGAATTTATCAGAACTGGGCCCTAAATTGCAATATCTCCCTAATTAGGATGGCAAAATCCCGTTTAATCAGTTACCCAGTGAAATGTTATGTTTAACTGGTTAATCGCTTAAACGGGGGATGAAGGACTGATGTTCCCTCACCTGTGGCATGCTGCTCTGGCCAGGTCAGTCCTGCTGCAGACAGAGGCTGCTCTGGCCTGGCTGGAGCACCCCGCCCATAGTATGCCGGGCCAGGCGTGCTGCAGGCAGGGGCTGCTCCGGCGTGGCTGGAGCACCTGTACAACGGTGCTCCAGCCAGGCCAGGCCCAGGCTGGACGGGAGGCTGCTGCAGCCCCTGCTTGTTAACCGTAACTGGTAAGCCTCACCCAGTGAGAGTGATGCTTATCCATTAACCGGTTAGCCATTCACATCCCCATCCCTAATGCATGAAGCCCTCCATGTGCTAAGCTCTGATTATTTTGAAAAATTGGGGGAAATCCTTCGGTATAACAGGTTTGGGCATGGCCCTGTCACTAAGTATGCTGTCTCTTTCCATTTTCTGCTCCTAGTACTTACTAGAAATGAAAAGCTTAATTCTGCCTCCAGAGCACATTCTGAAGAGAGGCGACAGTGAGGCAGTAGCATATGCTTTCTTCCATCTTCAGCACTGGAAACGGATAGAAGGAGCCCTTAACCTGTTGCACTGTACATGGGAAGGCAGTAAGTATCTTTTTTTCCAGTGTGGGCTAGCTAATCTCTGGGCCTTTTATTCCAATCATTGGTAACTGGCCTACCTTAACCAGTGTCTCAGCTTCCTTAAAACAGCCTTCTTCAGCTCACTTCGAAAGGGAACTCAGAGCTGTTTGGCTTTTGACTGGAAATGCTTAATTGATGCCACATTATGAGAAAGCAAAGGGGTTTACCCTGGGGAATGTAGTCAGCTACAATCAATAGACAAAGCTATTTGTATTCATCAGCAGGGCACGAAATGATAGCTGATCACAGCTATATACTGTACTCCCAGTTTTTATGGCCTCTGCCAACTTGTTTTCTCCTCCCTTAAAAGCTCCCCCATCATTGGACAGCTGGAACCAGGGCTACCAAGCAGCTAGGATATTAAAAGCCCCACTGAGGCTGCAGACCTCCTTACCTAGAGTGCAACCATGGGTGAAAACAGCCAGCCACTGACCTGGGGTAGGGAGAGGGCCTGAACTGCCACCTAGGAAGAGGTCTGTGATTGCTTCTTAATAGCTTGCTGGTAACAGTTCCTGTTCTGCTGCGGGCTGAATCATGAAGCCAGGAGTGGCTTTTGCAGTAGGGATGTGAGAGGTTAACCAGTAAGCAATGGGTACTGCTTATTGATACCAATTAACCAGTAGCCCATGGGGGCTGGAACAGCTGCCCGCCTGCCACAGGCAGGGGGTATTCCAGCCCCACAGGGGGCCTGCTGCAGACAGGGGCTACTTTCATCTGGGGTTGGTGCTCCAGTCCTAGATCCAGGCCCACTGTAGTCAGGGGCTGAGAGCTGTCAGCGTGCAGCTATTTCCAGTCTTGCTAAATGTGCTGTCTTTGGGTACGTCTAGACTGCAGGTTTTTGTCGACAGAAGTTTTGTCGACAGATACTGTCGACAAAACTAGTTCTGTCGACAAAGCAAGCTGCTTTGTCGACATGGTAGTGTAGACGCAAAGGACAGTTTACATGCAATAACACCTTCTGTCGACAGAAACTCTGTCGACAGAAGGCGTTATGCCTCGTAGAATGAGGTTTACCAGCGTCGACAAAACTGCTGAGTTCTGTTGACGTTATGTCGACAGAACTCAGCAGTAGTGTAAACGCAGGTATAGTTTTGTCGACAAAAGTCCACTTTTGTCGACAAAACTCTGTAGTCTAGACACACCCTTTGTGACTGAGATGTTCTTTGTGGTGGAAGACTGGGGGGTTGATTTGTGCACAGGACTAGTGTAAGTCTGACTGACTGTCTTCTCTTCAGCATTTAGAATGATCCCATATCCATTAGAGAAAGGCCATCTTTTCTATCCCTATCCCAGCTGCACAGAGACAGCAGACAGAGAACTTCTGCCAAGTAAGTGGCTATTTTGTTTGTCAGTAATAAGTAGAATAAAATATATGTAATAGAATTCCCGTCTGTACTGCACTATGCAAATGCAGCAGCAGTATAAGTTGTAACCTTGCATCCCAAAGGATCCCAAGGCATGTCATAAATGAGTGTGGGGAGTGCAGGGGCATATATAAATATCTAATATTACATACTTTCCCTCTGAAATGCAGCCATCTCTGGGATGAAATATCCCATGTAACTCAGGGATGGGGAACCTTTTTCCTGTCAAGGGCCACTGACCCCCAGAAAAAAATCAGGTGTGAGCCACACAGTCCTTCCCCCAGGCTCTGGTGTGGGGCCAAAAATGAAGGGTTTGGGTTGCAGAGAGGGCTTCAGACTGGGGCAGATGCTTGGGGTGTGGAAGAGGGTGAAGGCTCTGACTGGGGATGCAGGCTCTGGGATGGGATTGAGGATATGGGGGGGGCTCTGGGCTGGGGCCAAGGTGTTTGAAGGGCAGGAGGCAGCTCAGAGCAGAGGGCTAGGTTGTGAATGGAGGTGCAGGGCGTGGGAAGCAGTTAGGGTTCAGGAGGGGCCTCAGAGCCCGGGCAGGGTGTTGGGGTGTTCGGACTCTGGCGTGGGTTGAGGGACGAGGAGGTTGGGGTGTGGGAGGGAGCTCAGGGCTGGGGCAGGAGTTTGAGGTGCAAGAGGGTATGTGGGGTGCTTACCTCAGGAGCTCCCAGTCGGTGGCACAATAAGCCCAAGGCAGGATCCCTGCCTACCCTGGAAATAGACAGTCCCAGGGGGAGGAGAAGAAGGGGCAGGTGGCCTGCAGTTGCTGCCTTGGTATGTGGAGCTTACCTGATCACCACGCGCCAGCGCTTGAAGCTCCAGCCTAGAAGGTGAAGGGGCTTCTGACCGAGGGTGCAGAGACTTGCCCGAGGGCCTGATGAAATTAAGCACGGGACAGGTTCCCCATCCTGGTGTAACTGAATAGTGGCACTGTCCAACAGTTTGGTACGGCATTTCTCTCTCCCCACTAATTTCAACAACCAGGGGAATTTAAGCAGATGGACTATAATGGTTCTTGGCATCCTTACCAAATTCCAGTTTATAGCATGCACCTAGACCCAGTGTCATGGGACCTTTAAAGACCACTGGTTATAAAGTTCAGTTTTCAGTCTCATTGGATGGGGTCCCTGCCAGTGGCAAAGCGCACATCTGCTGTATCGTAAAACCAGGACCAAACCCTAGCAGAGGGTGCCACCAAGAGGTACTGAGTTGCCAGTGAATGCTACTTTGTGTCATGAGGATTTTGTAACCATATGTGGAGGAAAGAGGCTTCCATACCTGATGTTTCCAAATCCAATCCCCCAAATTGGCGGAAAAGAAAATTGGACTAGTCCTCGGTGATCACTTTTTATTTAAAAAGAAAATAGAATGGATTCCCTGACCATTGTAGGGATGTAATGGTATAGTCGATGAACCAATAAACAAAAGCTTATAGGTTAATGCTATAGACTACACGCATTCCCCCTCCCCCAGCCCTGCGCCAGTACATTTTTTAGCAGCCTTGCCAGCAGCCTAGCTGAGTCCCAGCCTGCGCCATGTCTGGGACCTAACCCTGCTGTGGCTCTGCATTTAAAGTGTATTAGGAACCAGGTGGGCAGGCAGCCCGGCTGAGTTCTGGCTCACACCAGGTCTAAGAGCTCAGACTCCCTCCTCACCCCCAAGGCAGGGCCTGCTGCCACCCCATGCTGCTGCCTGTGATACAGAGGCAGCAGCATGGGGCAGTAGCAGCTGGTCTGTGAGGGGCGCTGGTTTTTAAACGGGCTCCCCTCGCGGACCAGCTCCCGCCTGGCACCCTGCACTGCTACCTCTGAGAGAGGTATCAGGGGGCTCCCCCGGGAGTGGGGCTGGAGCGCTCTGGCTTCCAGGCCACCCCTGGGGACTATAGAATAGTCGAGTAACCAATAAGAATATAAAATTAACCGATATTTAACATCCCTGCTTCTGTTATCATCTGCAAATAGCTGGTAGGTTGATAACCATTTCTGGCTCTTGTATTAGCGTGACCAGCTGAACCTTTATCATCCTTGGGTAGCCTGTGGCTTGAGAGAACACTTTACTGATCCTTAATTTGATTTGATTGTACATTTCATGGCATCTTGATTATCAAACATTGCTATACATCAGCAATGAACCCTAAGATTTGACACTAAAGAATGAGGCTTCTCCGTTACTTCATGATCCAGGTATTAACCCATGCATATTCTGTCTGTAAAGTAACTTGAAAATAAACCACTAGGACCCTTTCTCCCTCCGCCTGTCACATTTCAGCATTCACTTCATGATAATGGGGCTAGTCACCTGCTGGTGGGACTCTATATGTGGCCTTCTGCATCTCTTGAAATCTCAGCATTTTCATGGAATAACGGGCTGCTGCTGAAGTGTCTGAGGGATACAGCTGCAGAAGAGCAAACTTACACCTATGTGTTTCTGTTACAAAAGTGAAAAGTTGTATTTAAAAAGTGTAATTGAAAGCTGCCCCCAGACTATTTTAAATTATTCATTTCTCACTTATGCAGGATATTGCACAAGGAATTCCTTGGTTAGTAACTAACTCTAAGCTGTAGGCTTTCCAGCATAATTAAACAAACAAATTGACACGATTTAATTTTTGTGAGATCTTCATTTTGGTGAGGAAAAAGCCAAAATAAAAACAGTTAGACATTTTTCTAGTTTTTCAGTTCAGCCACCAAACCAAAAAAAAAAAAAAAAAAAAAAAAAATCAATTATTTTAATATATTTAAAATAGAAATTAAACCAAATTGAAGCTTAAATTGATAAACTTCAAATAGAAAGCTAATTGCTCTACTTGGTAATGATGCACAGTAAGAAAGCTCTGACCATGCAGAAATCTGTTTAACTCTCTTTACATACCTTGAGCCTGACCCTGCATTCCTTGTCTAGTGGCAGTTCTGGGAGCATAAGGAATTATTGTCAATTTTTGTTGTTGTTGCTCTGCCAGCTTTTTCCTGCCTTCCCAACCCTTATGTTTAGTTTGCTTGTTTTCTACTGTTGGCTCCTCTTTCTAGTTCATCCTCCCCCCAGTCATATACGTCTTTACTATACAGTTACATACTGTTCTATGAATTGATCATTAGAGCCCTGCAAATCCACGGATATCCGCTTTATATCCATCGTTATCCACAACCATCTCCATGGGTGTGGATGCAGATATCTGCGGCTCATTTTTGTGGATACCGAAGTGGATGCGGATACAAATTTTGTATCTGCACATGGCTCTTCTGAGCATGTCCCAGTTAGGGTTTTATGGGATGGCTGATAGAAGAGTGTATTGTATGCCATGCCTCCTCATGGGCCAGTCGCTGCTTTTTTTGTCCATTAGACAAACAGTATGAGTATTCCACTAGTCTGCTGAGTAGCAGAGTGGACTAGATGCCAAGGAGAAAAAATGCAAGAGAATCTTGATGGTGGCAGCATTACGCATATTTGATTAGGGCTTATTTTCTTTTCTTTTGGTGTGTGGCCTTACAGAAAGCCTTATGCATTTCTCAACTGTACTTCGGAATCTCAGCTTTCACTCAGAACGTTTTCCCGACCTTTCATGGTTTACAAAGAAGAGGCGGCACTGCAGATCAGGTCATGCTTGCACTGATCGCTTCCTGAATTTGCAGGCAACCAGTTGCTTGGTGACATTCAATCATCTTGATTTAACTCTGTCCTCTTTCTATTTCCCTCTGCAGCCCACTGACAGCTAAACTTGGGCACAACACAAAAGTGAATCGCATATAAACAAATAACACAGGCTATTGCACTGACTATATATATTTTCCATAGTTAAGTAAATCAAAATATAATTTTGGTTGGGTCTGCTCCAGAATTAAGTGTGGCTTACTGAAGAATACACAGGACCTTTCTATACTCCGTTGCATGTACTGACCCTGCCTGTTCTCTTCATTGTAAAACATTGCAAAATTGTTGGGCAAAAAAAGCTAGAACTGCAGCAGTCTCTAGATGACAACTATTTTCAGGGTCTTGAGCTGTGAAAGCTCCATCCATATTCTGCTCCTAAGAGCTGTCTAGTGAAATTATTTTGATTGCTTTGCCCTAAAGTGTGACTAATGGCCGTGTACAAAATTTGTAACCCAGTCTCAATGCTGCTTTTTTTGAGATCTGCTTTGTCAATAACTCTGAAATTTATTGTAGTCTGCCAACTTGCAGTCTTTGGGAAGTTTTAACAGAGTCTGCCCATGTATATTATCTGTTTGCTTTCTGAATTGTTTTGCTTTTTAGACATGGGAATTCTTAAGATAGAAAAACATTACATAAAAAGTAGGAAAAATAGGATGCTTGCTTTTTAAAACATTGGCATACAATAAAATAACACCATTTAGCATGTGTAACTGTTAACAATTCCTTGATTATTTAAATTGGGCCAAGTGTTTTCATTGGAACCTTTGTCTTGATGACATCTTGTGAATTTTCTGTTGCAACAGTTGATTTAAAAAATTAACCCTGCAATGGTCTTAAAATAAAGGAGGGAAAAAAGTGGTGGGGGAAGTATAGCTTTAGTGACACCAATACATAACTGAAGAGCAAAACCATGTAGCATTTGTGGAAATAGCATATCAGAGCTAAGCCACTTAAATCAGCTTTGAGCAAATGTCAAGAGTTTAGTCTTGTGCTGCACAGAGACTTGCTGTCCTTGGGCACTAAATCTGAATGTAAAGCCCTGGCTACTCTGTAAGAACAGTGCTTCTCTTTGACACCCTTGTCTACTGTAAGCAATGTCATTATGCCCTTTTGTCAAACAAGCTCCAAATGTCTAACCTTCCTACGTTTCCCTTTCAGCGTTTCACGATGTCTCCGTTTACCCACAGAAGGAGCTTCCCTTTTTCATCCATTTCACCGCAGGGCTGTGTTCCTTTTCGGCAATGCTTGCTGTTCTCACGCACCAATTCCCTGAACTCATGGTCATTTTTGCTAAAGCAGTAAGTATTGTCTCCGGTCCTGGACTTGCATAGAGTGTTTGTGAGAGATTCAGAAACCGAGCATCCTGCCTGGGATGCTGTTTTGAGATGCAGTAAATATGCGTTCAGTCATGTGCTTCTGAAGTGACATGTCATGCAACTATTAAACGTGATTCTTAGTTCACTTGGTCTCAGAGTTCCTCCTTTTTTAAAGAGTAATATTTTTATTTTAAGCTGGTTTCTGCGTATCAGTTTTGATAGATCATCAGTCCTGACTACTAACTTAGGAGCAGCTCAGCCCTCTCTCTCTCTCCTTTGACAGGAAGGACTGTGGAGAAGAGTTTAGTGTAGAGTCATCCTGTTTGTCAGACACAACTTCTGGTTTTTAGTGTAAACTGAATTATTAGATGCAAAAGCTGCTGCATTTTGAGTTAAGGTCTCTGCAGTAATTAATGGGTGAGACCATAAAGCCATGGGAACTTTTACATTGTAAGCTCTCTGAGGCAAGGACTCTGCTTATAGCTGCATTTTGTACCCTGCTGAAGGCATTGTCTAAGCTTAAATAACATTTTGCACATTCCCTCTCAAGCTGTTTACCTCCTCCTGCTGTCCCATTGCTGCTGCTGTTTTTCATTCTCCAACATATTGGATAGCGACCAGCCATAGATGATGCTCCAGTAGTAACAGTAAGGGCTGAAAAATATTTTCAAAACACTTTGATTGCATCAGATAACGTTGGAAACCAAATAAGTGAACCCCTCAGAAAACCTGCTAATAAAATAGCTCTTTTTTCACACGCATCTCACTTCACTCTCATGCCTCTTCCACCTTCTTTGCCTTCAAAGATCTTAGAGGCAAAACTGCACATGAAAAGTGTTAATTATGTTACTTAGACCAAATCTACATTGGCACTATAATGCACAAGGTTGTGAAAAAACACACACACCCTCCCTAGCACAGCAAGTTACAGTGCTGTAAAGTGCCAGCGTTAACCAGGCTACGGCGCTGGGAGCCACTCCCTTCATGGAGGCAATGCCGTGGCCAAACTTCTGTTTAAAGTGCTGTTGTGGCTGCGTTTTAAATTTCTTAGTGTAGACGAAGCTTTAGTGTGCTTCTGGAAAGTGCTCAGATACCATGGTGAGCATGATCTGAAACCAATATAGAATAGAGGGAAAGGGGTCTAGTGGACAGGACACTGGCCAGGACTCAGGATGCTTCTATTCCAGCTCTGCTGCTGATCTTCTGGGTGACTGCAAGCAAATCCATTCTCTCTTAAGGAAGCCCCACGCTCTGCTAGTATCAGCCTCAGGATGGAAACTGGACGTGGCCTTTGATCCTAATTCACTATGCTCAGTTCCCCTTACTTGTGAAATGCGGATTTTTGCCTCTCTTCTGTAGCACACTCTGAGGCACTTAGACATGTGCTATGTGGAGTATCTCGCATGTTCCCAGAGAACAGATTATTCCCACCTGCATCTTTTGTTTCTCTTCATTGTTCCTGTTCCCTGGCAGGCCCATATAAGGTTACACATCGTGGTAACCTTCCTTCCTGCTCTCAAAAATTGGATGTGCTGCTCTAGAAAAGAGGGAAAGCTACGGAGTCCTACAAATTGCTTGCCACCCTGCTTATCCGTCACACAGAAATAATAAGAAAACCAAAAACATGCTGCAGTGTGCTTGGCATCCTCTGGAGCATGCCTCTCCTATGGTAGCATGGAGCACTAACCACAGAGCCACTGAACACATATTAAATCATTGTTTCATAACTAGAAAAGCCTCAAATAACTTACGAATGAGAGAGTCAGGCTTCCTGCTGTATAGCACTTCAGGTAATGAGACAAATGGAACAAAAAAGTTCATAACTAAGTTCTCATGAAACCCATGTTTTGCTGACATTTCTGCTCTGTGGTGTCCAAGCTATGCCGGTCTGAGAGTGGGGCCCCATTTTCATCCTGTTCTGTTAATCTTTATGTGGGAAAATGTAGTTGGACATGCCAGTGACAAATTTCTGTGCTGCTTATAATTGGCTGGCTTCATGGCAACCAGGGTCTTAACTATCTGCTTGATTAATTCTTTGAGGACTGCATTAGCAAAGTTGTCTGATTTCCAAAGAGATACAAGGTCAAATGTTATACTAACAGAGAATCGCTTGGGGAAGTTCTCTCTGCTGAGTTTCTTCAACCAAAATATATAATGTGTGTGCACTACATTTGCTCTGCAATTTGAAACAGGCAATTTGAACATCAAGAGGAAAGTTGGTGACTATGGGCAATTGCTCTAGCCTGGCTTTCTCATTTGGCAGTGCTTCACATTGTGTTTATTTTCTGTGGGAAGGGATGGCCTTATCACTGTTCCGCTGAAAAGACGAATGTGAGCCATGCTTCCGTGTCTCTACTGGCAGCGGACAACAGATCACCCCCATGGAAAGCACAGAAATTGTATTGGCTTTCCTTATCTTTGGATGTGTTCTTTTCCTTGCCTGGGTGCAATAATAATTTTTCAAAATGCTGTTCAGAACATATTGATTCTTTTAAAAAAATGAATCCAACGAGTTATCCATATCCAATGGAAAGGGTTCCTTTGGAGGAAGAATGCCTACTAGTTAAAGCATTACCTGGGAGTTGAAAACCTGATTCTGCCCTACCTTTACTATTTGACCCTAAGTAAATCCTTTCGCCAGTCTCTCATTTTTCCCCATTCGTAAAGGGGGACTGTGAGACTTAATAAGAATGTATGTCATTTATTATAAACTCTAAGCGGCCTGTGTAATTTTTCTTGCATTTCCACCCAACTTTGCTTTATTCACAGTTTCAACAAAATAGTTGTTTTTTTCATTGAAATGTAAAGAAAATGCTAATTTTGATGCATTCCAGTGTTCTAACTAATGATGAGCCAAACAGTAGAATGTCTGCCCATCTAGACACAATTTGGTCTCTTCAGGTACCAGATGAATCCGAAATGTGGTCAGATTTCCTTAAATTTCAGCAAGGAGACAGTGCCTCACATAGGAAGGTCTGTTATATTCTAGCAGAATGCCATATATTTGTATGTAACTGGAACTCAGCTAGAAAACTGGCACACAGTTTCATCAGAATAAAAAGGGATGTTGAGGTCTGCTCGAATTTTTAAATTTTCACACACTTTTAATCTAACGTCACTTGTTTCAAACTTTGTGAATTTGGAAAGGTCCCTTTTGAAAAATGTAGGTTGTGAAGTGGCAGATTGCTGCTGAAAGGGGAAAAATAAACGTGATCTTGCCACACAGTGATATTTTAGTTTTAATAACAGTAAGATAGAAATGTAGTGTTTTTTAGGGGTGTGTTCTTTGCAGTGAGCAAAGTAAAACTTGTCAGCTGTACAACAACCCACTAACGTTAATATCAGGAATACAAAGATACAGCTATTGATTTTCTGCTATTTAGAAAAGTCCAGGATTATCTCTTTATTCATACTCGAGTGTTTAAAATGTCTTTATTCCTAAACATAAATGTGCCACAATACTGTGAATATTACATATCTTATTTTTATACCTTCATAAAGGTCTAACTGCCTTGAATTTATTCCTTTGAATGGAAAAATCCAAATTCAAGGTAAATCATAATACAGCTGTGCATTTGTTTTTATGACATTGCTCAAACTTTTTTTTCTGTAACAGACATTTTGAATGGTTTAATCATAGTGAAGTGTGATGCCAAGGATGGGGTTTTAAGAAATTCAAGACACACAAGTACGCACGTGGTAGGTGGGGTAGAATGGTGTATGTAATACCTGGACTTTTCACTATTAAGCTGTAGGTGAATGTAAACCCTAATCTCTTTTCTTATATGGTAATTCATTGAGTAAATTATTTTAATAAAACCATTGTTTTCAGCTGGTTGATTCTGTATAACTAATTATATGCTTCATAAAAGCCCAAATGTTAATGCAGGCCATCCTCACTATAAGTCCAAGATACGTGCAAAAAACTCGGACTTATAGCGAAACAACTTACAGCAGGGAATTTTTTTCTGCGGCTGACTTCCATTTGCGCAAATTGTTTTTTGTTGTTGTGTGATTTAAGGGCGAGGAATTAGAGGACTTATAACACATCCATTCCTACAAGCATCAGTGCCCGGGGGACACATATAGCGGGGATGCCCTATACTACTTTTATTGAATTTAATAGTCCTGGTTTACATATTTTCACAGTTTAGTGCTTGAATTTAGTATCTGGCTGGTGGGTCTATTTAACATGCACAGAATCTAACCGATTGCCAGTTTGGGGCTGGGGAGGAAATTTTGCCCCAAGTCAGATTGGCAGAGACTCGGAGTGTTTTCACCTTCCTCTGCACTATGAGGCCTGGGTAACTTGCTGGTATGAACTGCAGGAAAACGGTAGATTCTCTGTAACATGAAGCCTTTAAATCACAGTTGAGGACATCAGCAAGTCAGCCAGAGGCTATGGGCCAATTTCAGAAGCGAGTGGGTGGGGTTCTGTGGCCCGCACTGTGCAGGAGGTCAGACTAAATGATCATGATGATCCCCTTCTGGCGTTACAGTCTGCGTCTGTGATGAGTGGGGCCTTCAAAAGTGTGAATGCACTTGTAGAAGCAAGTTCCTGACTCGTTAATGTGTGCAGTCTTAAATACACTCAGGCAATGGGACTTGATTTTTATCAGTAAGTGTCACGACACATCAATTTCACAGTATATACACCAACCAACGAAAAATATTTGTCGATAAGAATCAAAACGTACAGAGAGGCAATATAAGACAATAGCTGCTTGAAAACTTATTAGTTTGATTTAAGGGTATTTACTTGGTATATTTTGATGTGATTTTGATCATTTGTGTTTTAATGATTGTAAATCTTCAATTATTTGAATCTCAGTGTCTGCTGTCATTAAATAATTTCCTGCAACTGTGAAAATGTAAATACTGTAGATAAAATCCAGAAAGTGTTTAAAAATAATCATCGATAGTCTCCATAGAAATTATATTACAAAAAATGAAATCAAATCCTGTCAAATGGAGGGATACTCCAGAGTGCTACAATAGCTGCCATCAATTTGCATCAGATTTATTCCAGCTAAATTATTTTATGTTTGAGGTAAAGTAGGTTGTCTGTCATTTTAGTGAGTCTCACTTTGTAAATCAGATTACCTGTACTCCAGGACATCTTGCTGAGATTATTAGTTTCTTATGCATGGGTAGCAATACAGTGGTCACGTCCAGAATCTCCAGACAGAACGCAGCCCCACTGTACTGAGTACATCACAAACCCATGGTAAAGCAGCCCCTGCCTTGTGGAGCTTTTAGTAACACAGTCACTCAATAATGTAAATATGAGTTCACAAAACCAAAGGAAGGGTTTGAGGAGATTTGTTTTAAATATGCCACCTAGCCAATTTCGGATGGGATTAGAAATAAACTTTCTCTGTGGCCAGGTTATTACATAGCTACCCACAGGAAGGTTAATTGCTGGGGGCTCTGAAGCAGCTGGTAAGTCCACTGTGGGGAACAGGACATTGGACCATTGCTCCGACCCAGTGTGGCAAACCCTATGTTTCTGAGACAATCTGCTTTACTCTCTGAACAAATCCCCTACCATTGTCTGAAGGCTCATTAAGTGAAATTGGAGAATTAACTTTTTACTCAGCTGTTGAACTTTTCATGTTTGTAAACACTTGAGGTTTTTGCTTATCTAAGAGAAAATGTACATTGTTTGTGCCAATGTGTAATGATCATAGTTCTTCACTTCATATAAAAAATTCTGACGTTTCCTGTCACAAGTTGTGTGTGTCAACGCCAAGAGCAAAGGTTTCTTGCCTTTTTAATCTACATCTTAATTCATGGGCTTAATATGAAGGTTCCACAAGCACCCAGGCGGCGTAGGAAGTAGTACAATGAAAAGTGCAGCTTGATGTAAATGTTCTGTTTTAAAAGCCTTTTTAAATGTAATACTAGGTTATGATACAAGTCCGGCTAGCCAAAGTGAAGCCTGGAGAACTCAGTCATTAACTCTGTCTCATGGAAAAACGTGGTTTGTGTGAGGATAAGGTATCCGTCCTAGCTCTGGGCTCTCTGACTTTTGAGAATAGCTCACATTTTATTTTAAACCAAACTTCATTTGGGGGAGAAGGGCAGGGTTAGAGGGGAAGAAAAGTCTTTGTGGTTTATAGAATATGAACTGCATCTCTGAGCACTGTCTATTTGTTAGATTGTATTTATACTATTGAATCAGTGGCTTAAGAGCTGCTTGCTGGCCACATTCCTCCCCCAGCCTTCCCAAGTCACATCAGAGGCAGAATGTAACAGAGCAGCAGGAAGATTCAAAACAAGGAGGGAACTCCATTGTAACTCATCCTGGTGTGCCTAGGTGTTGTGGCTCTTTTGGTGTACATATGCCCCCAGCATTCTGCCATCCAACTGTTAGCAGACAGCACCATCTCTAAGCACAGTGGGGTGAGTTCAATTGAGTTTCAGCTTCTCCTCTGACTTCTCTTGATTTTAATAGGTTTGTCAGACTCTCCAGTGTAGGATAAGGTTTTTTTTCCCAAAGTTATAGGTTGTCTTTGGATGTCACCCCATTCCTTGTTGGGACTGTACTATAGCAATGAGCATCATCCAAGCAAAGGATTGGAGGCCAGGATCTGTCATTGTCCCATCAACTTCTGACAAGCCACTTAACCTCTGTCCCAGTTTGCCCATCTCTAAAATGGGAATGAGACTTAGGTCACAGAAGTGTGGAGGTAGGGTTGTGAAGGACTAGTCGACTGTCTTGATTAGCAAATGCTTATTGGATAGTCGACAGGAGAGTCAACTAGTTGCTCCCCCTCCCTTGCTGCCTCTATCAGAAAGAGGCAGCCGCAGGGGGCAGGGAGGGATGTGGAGGGGGGATTTCAAAGTAGCAGCGCAGCTTGAAGCCTGGGGCCAGACCCTGGGCTCCACGGGGTGCTGCCACTTTGAAAAGCCGCGTGCAGCCCGGGGCCAGCTGGGGTGTCCTCAGACTGTACGCAGTGTTTCAAAACGGCAGCACCGCGTGGAAACCAAGCTCCATGCAGTGCTGCTGCTTTGAAACACTGCAGGGAGGCTGGTGTCAGGCTCCTCACAGTATTTTAAAGCGGCAGTGCTGCGTGGAGCCCAGCATCCATCCCCAGCTGACCCTGGGCTCCATGTAGCGCTTTCACCTTCAAAGGCAGAGGCGCCCTATCATCTAATCAAATAGTGGATGCAAAATGCATTCATTATTCGATTAGTCAGTTACCCAATACTTAACATCCTTAGTTGAGGGTTCAATATTTTGTGACATGCACTGAGGTTCTGAGATAAGTGTAAACTGGTACGAGTATTAATTTCTGCTTCATAGTGGCAGCACGGCACGAAGAGTGACATAGCCTGGTTTTGATCAGAAGAAAAATTTGGGATTTCTGCCTTCGTGCTCCAATGATGCGAGATATCCCACTGCCTTTTTAACTCAGGCACAAACTTTTTCTGTTTTGTTTCTTCTAGTTCTTTGGGATGCTGCTTTCACCCTTCAGTTTCATTATGGAAAAGATTAAGCGCTTCATGCCATCCAGTCTCTGGCATCAGCTGACCCAAATTTGACAGGAACGTGTTTCGCACAATAATAAGTTCTCAGGAACATTACCACCAGCTCCTGTTGGGCCATGGAGCACTGATCTGGCAGCTAGAGGAACAAAAGGAAGAGCAGCTGCCTTACTTAAACTTGTCTTCCATCTTGTTAATGGTGCTTAAAGTAACCAAATCCCTTGTTTGGCCTTCGGATCTGTAATTATTTAAGAAAATGTTTTTGTTGAACGATAACTTGTTTGCTTCCTGAACCAGTTGTACATGTTGAAGCTACTACGTTCTCTGTGTTAAACTACAGAATACAATAAATCAGGCAGATATTTTCAGTGTTGGCATTTCCTTCTGGTCTCCAAACAGTGATACCTTCGTTGGCCAGCCTCTGGGTTTAAGCATTGCTAAAGGGCTGAGTACGGTTCTGCACCTCTATCAGGAGGCCACTTTTGTGAGGCAGCTGAATTTGTCCCTTTAAGTGGCAGTTTGACAGGTTACACTGTACATAAGAACAACCAGACTGGATCAGACTAAAGTCCATCTAGCTCAGTGTCCTGTCTTCCAACAGTGGCCAATGCCAGGTGTCCCAGAGGGGGGGAACACAACAGGTACAGTAAGCAGCATGAGTAGCCTGCTATGTCATATGGCATAGGCTTGTGTTACACCTTAGTTTCCTTGTGCAAACTTGGAAAAAGCGTCTGGGTTCAGTATTCATCTTGTTCTTGGTTAAACTGCTAACTGCTCTGCCTTTGTTTTCAAAATGAACTGGTTTTAAAATGGCCTTTTAAAGTGCCATCAAAATGCGTGAGGTACATGCGTGGAAGTCATTTTGTGAGGCAGGAACTCCTGAAGGCAGCTCCAAGACACGGCCTAGCAAAGCATCCACTGGTTGCGAGGTGTGAAAACTTGGAGCACTCCTGAGAGGGATCGCACATGTACGTGGCTTGCCACTGTTCAGTAGTGAAAAGAACCTGCCAAAGTAGGTCCCTGGCAGCAGCATGGCTTGGGACGATTAAAAGGACACATCCTAGGGGGAAATTGCCTTTTTTTTTTTCTTACAGGGCTTGTGTCTCTGTCACTCCTTGTTTCCTCGTTGGGAAACAAAATCGCATGAACTGTTGCCCGTGGATGTATGAAAGTAATGGAAATGTAACAAGTAAATGTGAAGGTCTCTTCTTTTGGCTGGGGGAAGTGTCTATTCATGACATCTCATGTACCCTTCTGGGGTCCCAGGAAGGCTGTACAAGGCTGCTGTCCTCACAGTTCAGCCACTACACAGAGGTCTCAGGAATGCGGCGACTCACGATACTTGTTGCTGATCCCTGAGTACAGGCCTCAGACTGTGGGGACCCAGTGGACTCCTCTCTCTCACTGCTTCTTATTACTGCCACCCAAGTGCAGCGTGGCTAATGGCAGAAGAAGCTGCCGCCTGCTGCATAGCCTGATGTTGCCATTTGCCAACACACAAACCCAGATCAGTAAAGGAGAGTGGTGCTCGCGGGTCGTTTGACTATTTCTTGGTGCGTGGTGCTTATTTGGGCATGTGAGGAGAATGGGATGCTCTAAATGGTGCAGATGATTAGCCAAACCTTTGACCGTGTGGAAGCATCCCTTCCCACTAGCCCCTCAATCCAGCCTCAAGTCTCAGCCAAGCAACAGATGAGCAAATTCAGGGTCTGAAGTTGATCCGATGCAGTGGCAGTGCAGTTTGCTAAGGGATGTTTTCCCCTACTGTTCAAATTTGCCCCATCATTCCCTCCTGATGCAGGAGAATGAGCATGGATTAGCCAGCTCCTTCCTTAATTTGCTACTGAAGAACTCTGAACCACTCCCATCCGTAAGTGCCTCTTATGCCACTGTTATAGCTGAGACACCCTTCCCTCCCCTTAGGCAGAAGCCACGACGCAGCATTTTTATTTCCTACTGTCCATTTGCACTAATGGGGCCTTTGCTGAGATTTCACTCAGGAGGAGTCAAGAGGGGAGATCTAGAGCAAGATACTGACAAAATTTTGGAGTTATCCAGCTACCGGTAGGTAATTGGCTCAACTTTTCCTTCCAGCTAATAGAAGCCACTGGGGCCTTTTCTCACTGTGGAATCATTGCAGTGATTAATAGACATGTTGTGCTCATGCAATTTCACTTGGCAGTCCACGGGGGCCCATACACTAACCAACCTAATGCTTTTTAAAGCTGAACATTCTCCAGCATTTGTGTGGGGTAATAAATGAAGCACGGCCTCCCATGTATCATCCCAAGAGCTGCTTTCTCTCACTGTCCTCCCCTTGACATAACACTGACAGCAAGGGGGTGGGCTAGTACCGAAAGCCATACTAGCAACTCGCTGGGCCGTGAAAATCAGCCTGCCTTTCCAAGGCACTCGGAGATTTCTCAATGAGGGAGCAGCTCTGCGGTAGCCTTCCATGGCCCTTTGCGAGCAGCGTCCCAGCACCTGAGCCGTGCCATCCAAGTCCCTGCACATACGCACAGGCACATCTCTGGGGGTGGGTCATGCTGGCTATCCAGGGGAAACAAACATCTCCTCGCCATGTGCGCCATGGAAGAGTATTTCAGGAAAGAGCAACACAACCTCCAAAATCCCCAGCCCCTCAGGGCTGCCCCCCCCCCCCCCCCCCATTTCTCC